TTAGGAATTACTAAAGTTGAATCCTAGGGTGCCGAGGAGACCTGGACTTATGGGCCTGTATGTATCACAATTGGCCTAATGTCGAATTCAGGATCGTGACAAGGTAAATTCAGATCGGGCTACACGGGAGTCGGGAGAGAACCATCGGGGTTCTTGACTGGGGGCCGAGAACTCCTCAGTGTCAAGAAGGTCTCGGCACTCAGCATCGACGCTGACCCGGGTCGGATATGGATGGCCCTGGTCGCGAGGTTTTGGCCTCCTTACCTGGTGAGCCCGCTCCTCCTCCGACCCAACTCCTGTCCTCTGTTAGTCCAATTTGATCTCGTGCAGTTATTTTACCAAACTTGTTTATATAACTTGTTTATATATATATATATATATATAGGTTACAAATCTTGGCAAGAATCATCAAAGACTTGGATCCAGTGTTCACCAAGCTATTCGATTCGGAAAAGATGGAGCTTTCACCTCCACCTTATTCATGTGTATTTTAACATAATTCTTGTCTTTATTCTTTTACTTAGCTTTAATAGGAATATTGATGTCTTTTATCGTTTGCGGATGATGTGGCTTTATTTAGAATTTCTTTCTATTATGTTTTATATATCACCTTAGAGGCTACTTAGCCTACCACCCTATTAGTCTTTTGCAAGGCTACATATAGCCTAGGTAGTTCATTTAATTTTGAAGGAAATTTAGAATTGGAAGATTAATGAAATTAGTGCTTTAGCCCTTTTGAGAAAGAGATCGGCTTCGTTTCTTTGCAATTCATGTATTGATTTACACACCAAAAGAATATTTTAAGGAGAACGGATGATAAGAAGAATCAAAATTTTATTAATTTTTCGAATATTGAGGAGGCACCCCTTCTCCCAAAGTTACGGGACTATTTTGCTGAGTTCCAACGAGAGAGTTGGTCAATAAAGTAGAACGTCGTTTCTATAACACTTGAGGGGAATCATTGAATTACAATGATTCTTATCTTCAATTCTCCAAGAATTCATATTAATTATCCTTTGAAAGAATATGAGCCATCACAAATTGTATTTAAGAAAACACATAAGTACTTATTTTATACTGAACAACATGCACAAAGAAGTTAGACATAGTAATATTAACAGAAGAATAGCTAAGAACGAAATGATGTAAAAAAATCACTTTTCAGCTTTAAATATATTGTTGAAGGTTTTGAATGAGAATGTGACATCTCAATTTTAGAGAAATGTCGATAAAAATGTTAATAAAATTTTGATGTCGATGTATACTTTTAAAAAAGTTATAAAAAAATAAAAAATTCATTAAAATATTTAAATTAATAAATAAGTAATTTACTATTTCTAAATAATTTAAATATTATTAGTATTAATATGACGTTAATATTTTGTTGATACTATGTAACTGTTGACTTACCTATAGGCCTTCATATTGATGTTGAACCCATGAACATATAGAAATGTCGTGTTGACAACCAAAGCTCCAAACAAAATTTGTGCAGAAAAGTGGTATCACAATAGTGAGTCACATTCTTTTTTTATTACAATAAATATGAGAATAAGGGATTTTGAACATTCATTCTTTGAAATGAAGCAAAATACTTTAACCAACTATGATATTCTTAATATTTGAGAGCTTTAGACAATTATATTAGAGTTTATTGGGAATCTCACTTATTAACAATTCTACATTTGTATTTTAAAACTAATTTTAAGAAGGATGATTATCAATATTCTTATGAATATTAAAAAAAATCACTCTGTACAAACTTATCTTGATGATAGAAGGAATAATAACTTGATTTCTTAACAAAACAAAAAATAACTTTTAAACATAGCCATTAAAAAATATATTTTCCAAAAATAAATACCATTTCAGTCCATCTACTTTACTTTGATTCATTTTGGTCTCTGTACTTTTAAAGCATCCATTTTGATCTCTAAATTTTTAACTTTTATTCATTTTAGTCTCTGTACTTTTAAATGTCCACTCTGGTCTCTATACTCTTAAAAAGTAACTATTATAGTCCATTCATTTTCATTTTTATCTCATTTATCATCATAAGACACTTTACTCACTAAATTTCTTAAAATATAATTATAAATTTGTATCAAAGGATTTTTAATTGTGTATAAAATGTGTTAAAATTGTACCGATATGGGTTAAATTGGTCGCCTTTTAAAAGTACGGGCACCAAAATAAACGTTTTAAAAGTTAAATTCAAAGGTTAATTAGTTAGACATTTTAATGTTCATGGACCAAAACTTGTAATTTAACCAAATATAAATTATGTGACTACAAAATGTAAAACCTTCCCAAGGATTGACTTTTTCTTTTTGTTATAAATGTAGTCCTTTTTACGTTGGAAAAAAAATTGCTTGCATTTTAGATTATACAATTTCTTTTCGTACAACAAATGCGTGGATATATGAGGATTTGAAGCTCTAATTAGTAGATATCATTTACCACTAAGCTGTATGGTCATATCGTAAATTATAAATGTAGTCATTAACTTTGATGGGTTGTATCTATTTAATTAGTCCTTTAACTAAGTTTAAATTGCCTCTCTAAACAATGACTTATGACCGTATAATCTTTATAGCTAACAACTATTAACTGACATATATCTTCAACCAAGAAGTTATGAGTTCGATTCCCCACCCGACATGTTGAAAAAAAAACATTTACTAAATGAAAAAAGGGTAGTTGTAAATATGGCAAAAACATTACAATTTAGATTTTTTAAGTATAGCACTTTAAAAAAAACGGAGGTCTAATTTTAAAAAATGACAACTTTACCCAAATGATATACATTTGTAATATATCTGTAATATATCTGAATATTGATATATGTATGTAATATAGTACATCTGATACTCATAATGGCGTAAACGATGAGTGTTCGCCATTGGTCTACGCGGATCAGGGGCCAGCCTCAACGGGAACTTCTACTTCTTCCCGTGGAGGCAGATCGAGATCAATGTCTTTACAATATGTATGTGATATACATTTGATATACTATTGATATGAGTGTCTGTGTAATATGTATGTGATATACATCTAATATGAGTGTCTGATATACGTATATGTCGGATGTATCACTTTGTTTTGTCACCTTCTGCTATTTGGTTAAATCAATCAACATTTGTTTGATAGGTATGCACGACCACATCACCATTTAGTTAATGTATTAGTAGTACGAACTTCATATAATATTATCAATTAAAAATATAGAGACGTAATCGAAACATTTTAGAAGGTTAGAGATCACTTGATATTCGATACAACGACGATAAAATTAAAGTTTATGGACTAAATTTGTAATTTAGTACCACGGGCCTGGCTCTCTTTTTGTTTCTCGTAAAGGATCAAATTTAATGATGTCGAGTACTTCTTGACGACCTTATCAAAAGGAGCATGCATGTGATCCTCCCATTGTTGCGTGTAGAATCACTTTTTCTTTGCAACAAATGATAGGTCCAATTAATCCAACTCTCTATGATATTTTAACTTATGGTTCTCTTGCATCCCCAGAAATATATATATATATATATTTCATTTTCCCCCATCAATTGAAGGGACTATATAATGACGTTTTTTCCTCATTGTTTTCAATTTTAATTAATCTTTTTCACTGGTACAAATTTCAATCAGATTCTAACTCAAGGGAAGTAGGAGTGTTATCGAGGCAGGGTAGAGATGGAAGGGCATCTCTGTTTCCGTTCTTGCCCCATTTTTCATTTTTCATCATCTCCGTCGATATTTTCCATGAAATTTTGTGGAAAACATGTTAATCATGGAAAATTATTATTCGGTTTAATCAATGAAAGGTTAATTCTTGATAAGATTCTTATTGAAATGGTTAAGTGCTCATTTAAAAGGAAAAACTCTTAAATTTATTAAGGATGTCTTATAATTCATTTAAAAAGACAAATCCTAACAGTTAAATAAGTAACTTATTCAAATTATCAATACAATGACGTCTTGTAAACCAACAATGTCCAGTAAATTTTATATCCAAATATTTAAATTTAGGATTTATATAATCAATAAATAAACAGGGTGTTAACGGATGACATATTCCACGTCCCTATTTAGGTCACGTGAAAGATTTCCTCCATGTTTGCCAAGTCGCTTGATGGGTGGTCCTCACAAAGAAAGTAGCAATCTTTTCATGAGTTTTAACCAATGAATGATGTTGAAGTTATAAATTCGTATAGATTGAAAGTTAAGATTCTTATTAATCCAGCAAGCTTCAACTTTTGTTCTTTGTTGGAATATAGTTTTCTTTCTAAAGTTTTCCACCTTTTTTTTTCTCTCAATCTAATATATTGAAGAGAGAAAAAAAACTTTATTTAGATACAATTAGGAGGACTTTAACTTTTTGGACAATTGTTCCAAACCCATCAAATGGGACCAAATGTCAAACTATCTCCACTCTAAAAGAGAGGTACTAAAAAGAAAAGCAAAAGGATTGCACCATGAATAACATTCAATTATTCAACGTAAATAATCAATGAAATTTTGATTTTATTGACCATACTTTTTAAAAATATTTATATATATAAAAGATAAAAAATGTAAGATTGAAGGTTTTTGAACTTTTATATTTGAATTAATTAGGATTTTGAGTGATTTTAAATGAATTTTTCGAATTTCAAATAAATGGACATAAAAAAATATCTAAATGGAAGGTTCAAAAAATAAAATAATCTCTTCATCAGTTAAATTAGGTTTATATTAATTTTTTACAGAAAAATTATGTTAATATTGAAATACTTAATTGAATTAGTTTATTTTAATTTCATTAAACTTATAATTCTACATTGGTACCATTTTGTACTTGAATTTTAGATTTTACTATCTTTGTGGTCCCTTTTTCTTTTTCTTTTTTTTTTTTTTGTTAGATTTAGATGCTTTTGTCATAGATTTTTGAAAGAAAGGCAAAAAAGAATCTGTTGGTGATTTAATTATAAGTTAATTCTGAATCAATGAACAAAGTTGTAGACCCAGTAAAAATAATTAAATTATTTAAACAATTATTGTAGGGAAACAAACAACCTTGTTTGAAATTATTACAAAGGATTTCACATTTTTTATTCAAAAAAGGAAAAAAAAAATGCTCCTCCCTCCTAAAACAATATTAATTTCCCAAACTTTATTTACTTTTTTGCCCCTCATAGACAGTAAAAGAACGACGTCGTTTTCATTCACAACACGAAATTTCAATTTCGTCTTCTTTCTCTGCCTACTTGTGGCTTTTATTGCGATCCATAAACTTCGTCTCTCTCTCACAAACCGCCAAAAAGCTTCAGATTTGTGATCGGAAACCGCCAGATGTTGTACCCATTCCATTAATACGTCCATTCTTGAGGGAGACCCACGTCCATTTGGCTTGTCGCCGTCTCCGCCGCCGCCGCCGCCGCCGCTTCCGGCTGGGTTTGGGTCTCGCCATGTGTGGCGGTTATCGCACCACCCATTGCTTCTGGTTGAACAAAAGGATGGGAATCTCTTGTTAGATGAAACAGAGGGTGGCCCAGATCAAACGGAGATGAGAAGGGCCGAAGCTAACAATTGGGTATGAGGAATGAGCGCAAACTGTTTGTGAAAATGCCACAGAGAGTATTTTTTGTGGAATTTTGAAATATATGTATGTATACCTCTAATTGCTGCGAACCCAGTGATTTTTTGTCTCGTCTGGTCGTCCATTCGGTCGTAGTGAAGCTGTAAAGCTTGCAGGACTCTCACGGGTATTAGAACGGTGGAAGAGCCTGAAAAGAAAAGGTACAATTTTTAATTCTTGTTTTGCTTGTAGGGGAAGACAACGAATCCATCTACCCATTAAAAATTAAAATTAAAATTAAAAACTTAGTGGAGAATGCTGCAAGTGGTTTAAGATTCAATTTGGGTGTCGTTTTCAGTCACTTCCTTTTGACTCTAGAACCGCCAGGTTTAAAGAGATGAATCATGAATGGAGATTCCATAGAAGAAGTAGACAAATTTGGTTGGCCCAACCTGCGGTTAGTTGAAGCTCTAAAGATTCAGAGGGGGCAACTGGAAGGGCACCACGGAATCTTTATGAATCCGTAGAAAAAGAAAACAAAGAATGGTGGGGTTGAGGAAAAGTCCAAAACGCATCACGAGGAATGGTTGGAATGGCAATTTGTTGATGGAAAAACCCCAACTAATGGGGTAGTAAAGAGAATACCCACTGCGAAAACGATGTGATTAACTGTGTAGGGGAAATCAAGTGAATTACCCTTTGTCTTGGACGGCTGTGGCGGCTGAGGAGATGGAGCTGGGCGGTTGTAGTTCACATGGCGGGGCAAGAACACGCCAGTCCCTGCTGAACCACCTGGTTTTGACCCTCTTTGCTTCATAAACTGCTGCTGGCTCTGGCTCTGGTTCTGGTTTTGCTTGTTCTGGTTCTGCTTCCGCTTTTGATTCTATAAAGAGGGTTGAGTTTTGAATCAGCAAAAGAAGGGAGTAAAAGAGACTTAGAAACAGAGAGAGTTTTGGGGGATTTGAATCTCATCTCACTTTGAGAGCTCGAGCTTGGTCTTTGGAAGAAGAAGAAGATCCAGTTTCTCCATCCCTGCACACATTTTTCATCTTCTCCAACTTGCTGAAAACGTTTTGTGAAATGTCCAGCCCCAGCACCCCTCGGTCTGCTACGATTGGCGTCGTTGGTGGCGATGGCTCCTTCGATGGCCCCTCCGGGCTTCCGTGGCTGCTTCCATTGCTTGAGCCTAGAGGTGACCACAGAGTTGAAATTGGCGAACCAGCCAAACCCCATGACTGCGAGAAACAGACCAAAACAGAGCTACAAAAATAAAAAACAGAGGAAAACAGAGAAACAAAACAGAGAATTTGAGAAACATATATATCTATATGCATACCTTGTTTTGAATCTCAGAGCCAGAGCTTGCAGTGGAGGAGTTATCTTCATCCTGAAGCATGTACTGAGCCATCCGGCGACTCAATTCAGCCGTGTGATCATCGTCTTTATCGCTCTCGATCTCGTAGGAACCGAGCTCGGACTCCACCGGAGAGCTGAAGCCGAGAAATGAATCAGAAGGGCCAAAGTAGCTCGACCAATTGTCCCCTTCAAAGGGTTTCTGCTTCGTTTGCTCTGTCTGAAACTGAGAGTACAGCTTCAACTCTTTACCTTCAGGGTCTGCAGCCATGGCCGCAGCTTCGAACTGACACAGAGAGAGAAGCAGAGAGAAAACAAAGAGAGAGAGAGTATTGGAAATATAGGCGCCGCAGGTTTGGACTTTATAGAAATAGAGAGAACAGAGATCAGAGTCTACGAAGCACTCCAATTAACTTTTTAAGGTTATAGAACAACACCCTCTAGAGGGGGAGGGTTCCCTTTGCCGGTGGTCGGCCGGTGAGCGCCGCCGTGGGGTTCCGTCGGAGGCTTTTTTTTTTTTTTTGGGTATCTCAGATCTGCGATCAGGATTTTGGGATTCTTTTATACATAGGGAATGAAAGTAACGATATCCCCATTCCTATCACGGTTGGGGCTTTTGGATGATTTGGATGCCTCTTGGCCTCTCCTTCACTTTATTTAGATTTTCTTTTCTATCTTAAAAATCAGCATTTTAAGTTTGGCTTATTTTCACTTTGGTACCCTAACTTTTCGTAATATTTCAGTTTGGTCCTTGAATTTTTAAAATATTTATTTTGATATTTAAGAATCAACTTTTAAAACGTTTATTTTAATATTTAAGAACGTGTTTGATATGCCATGACAATTGTTTTTGGAAACTAGTTTTTTTCACTATGATGTGATACGAATGGTGAAGATTCTAAAAGACAATGTTGGAAGTGATTTTTCATTAGCCACGTGGCAGTTCTTGATATGGTAAAGACCAAGTCAACATAACTCAAAGCCTTGAAGCTTATCTGATGAGCCGAGCTGACCACCAGCTCAACCCCTTTGATAAGTAAGTCGAGCCAATCTTATCATTCGTATCGGTAGATCGATTCACCGGTCGAGCCAATCAACGGACACTCCTCTAGGATTATTCCTGGATACATTCCGTGACAACACGTCGAGATTTACGGAATCTAAAAAAGTCGTTGGAGGTTTGTCGAATGCCCTGTTGGAAGCTTTGTCTATAAATAAAAACCTCTTGCTTCATTTCCAAGTACTCGAAACTATATTTTCTCAGATATAGCTCGGTCACTTATTCACTTGGACGTCAGAGTGTTTTCTTTCTTTTAGGTCTCAAACAAACAACTTTTCTTCATTTTTAGTGTTTATAGATCTTGAATTTGAAACTTTAAAAGGTAGAATTATATTAAAAAAAAATTGGATAAATATACCCATTCATGTTCTTTTTTCATTTTTATTTTTTATTAAAAGTAGAACATCTAAAATATAGTATATTATAAATTATTAAATATTAAATATTAAATATTGTAAAATAATAATTATGCCATATTTATAACGTATATATTAATAAATTTACAATACTATTTTCCGCCCTGGGTTCCATCGATATTTCCATGTCCACAGGGTCGATATCAATATGAGGCGTGAATATACATTTCATAGTATTGCGGCAAAATATTAAAAATATCAAACAAAAAGGATAAGTGAAATGATGATATTTTATGGATATTTTGATCCATATCAACATTTAAAACCTTCTATTATGCCGAATTAATCATTTACACTTTTTATTTTTTAAAAAGATCTCAAATAATACTAACATTTATTATGTTATATTTATCAACATCTTTTAAAAAAGTTATAATTAATGTATTCATGAATATTGATATTGACATCTTTGATTTAAATTTAATTCAATTCACGAGACTTTTTCTTGTTTTTTTTTTTAACTATTTATATATTAAATCTAAAGATAGGAGGGGTAGGTTAGAGAATCCTTCTTCAAGTACCACTTTTCATGTGGGAATAAATTCTTGTTTAGCCTTTTGTTTTATATATATATATAATTTAGTAAAATACTTAATTTGATAATATTTAAATTTTATATCTTATAAAGATTAATTAACCGTTAAATTACAAATTTATTATTAGAACGTTCGAAATTTTGTTAAATAGATTTATAAACTTGCCAACATGAACGTAACTCAGTGGTTAAGGTATTACTCATCTCCTAGAGGTAATAGGTTCAATTTCTATTCCCACGTTTGTTGTAATAAAAAAAATAATAAAATAAAATATCGTGTCTTAGTTTGACCTGTTGGACATTTTTTAAAAATTGATCATGTACTTATTAGATCACAATTGAAAATTTATAATTTTTTTTAGACAAAAATAAAATTAATTTCTATAAATTTTAACTTTAATGGTATGTTTTATATATTATTCAACATTTACTTGTTATTTTTTATAAAATGGGAAAAATATAAAACAAAAAGTGATGAATTTTTTCAGAAGAATTTCAAAATTATCTACCTCGATCCCTCGAAAATGAGATTAGGGACAAAATAGAAACTAAAATTCCTTGAAGAGACGAGGATGGAGAAGGTATATGCAACCTCGTCCCATCATGATTAAAAAGTATTTTATAGTTCGGGGTGGGGTAAGGTGGGGAATNGTAAGGTGGGGAATGACTTTTTTTTTTATATCCGTGAGTGTCCAAACCAGGTTACGCATACGTCGACTAATCTCACAAGACATAATGAGATTTAAATCCATTCCGACCCTCTCAATTCACCATAACTCATTTGGACCAATTATCATGATGGGGAATGAAAAAAATGTAGAATTGATTCCTCATCGCCACCCTATTGCCATCATGATAAAAAATTATTCTATAGGTAGGGGGTGGGACAAGGTGGGGAATGAATTTTTTTTTCTTTCATATCCGTGAGTGTTTGGATCTAGCTTACGCGCATCTTAACTAATCTCACGGAATAGTTGCTGACCCTACAGCAATTGATGTTAGGAAACACATAGAAATTAATTCAAAGTAGGTGGTCATCATGTATGAACTCGTTTCCTCTCAATTCACCCTATCCCCTTTGGATCAATGAGCCGCCTAGAGAATGAAAAAAAGGTGGAGAATGAAATTTATTCCTCATCCACATGTCCCAAAACGTTGGGGTGAACCTTTTTCTTCATCTCAAAAGCAATTCTCTAACTTTGTTACGAGTGGGCTCCAATGCCATGGGAATTTTTGCAGATCCCCTATGCCTTGCTCAAACCCTAGGAATAATAGGCATCATTGACAATTTTGGGTGTCATTTAAATTTAACAATATGAAGGATATAATCGATAATTTTGGCATGAGTTGACCATATGGCCTCTTAATGATGGTAGATCCTTTGCTAGGGAAGTCTAAGGATCGAGGTCTTAATTGTAATTAGCAATGTTTCTTTTCTAGTAGCAACCTAACATACACCAAACATGGTTTGACAAAAACAGTACATATTATTACAACACTAAGGAATCTTTTTTTCATTTTTATTGTTATTATTAAAAGTAAATAAAGTAATTAATTATTAATAATATTTATCTAAAATATAATTGGCAAGTCAACATTTCTAGTTCTAACTCTAACTACTTCAACTACCACCAAGTGGCCTAACTCAATTATTGTTTATAGAATATTTTTATTTTTAAACAAATAGTTTTTAAATCATTTCACAAAAGAAAAAAAATGAAAATATTATTTTTAATATACCACTACGATAGAGGAATTAAGATTTTTTTTCCTTTTTTTTTTATTGGACGGTTGTCCATGAGAATAATCGAATTGAACTTAATTGATCAGATAAATATGTAAAAAAAAAAAGTGAGAACTGGGAATTTGAAAAAAAAAAATTACTGATATCTTTAACTTTTTATTTTTTTTAATTAAATTGATGTCAGTCATACTTTAACTCAAAGAAAAAAAGAACGGTAAATAAAACAATTGAGTTTATCAATATATGGATTTTTTTAGTTTGCCTTAGTCTATTTTTTAATTACTGGTTATTAACTTTAACTAATTTTAAAATATTTTCGATATATTGATTTGACGTGGGATTTTGACTTTGTCACTGTTATAAACATTAGATATTGAAATTTGACTTACAAATGAAACTCTCCCACGCAAAACTCCTGCTAACTCTTGGGTGCACACGCACGATTAATGCCAAAACCATAGTGTCTATGAGCTTAGGGGATTATTTCAAGATTATGACAAAGTTGAATAAATTAATTATTTGGTATCTATTCTTTATCCTTCTCTTTCTTCTTCTTCGGTGAATATTTGTTTGGTAGATTTATTTTTGAAATTGTTTATGAATTTGGGTAAAAAATATGAAACTTTTAAAATACAGAATTATATTAATAAAAATTTTTACAAATATTCTATTCGGTGTCATAAACTATTTATTTTTATTTTTATTAAAATATGTGAAATATAATATATTGTAAGTTATATAATATTGTAAAATAATAATTTTATATTAATAAATTAATTAACAATACTTTAGATAGGACTTAATATTTGGTTGATAATTACCACTAGTTTACAAATAAATTATTAAATACCCTTAACGGTTTTTTAAATTGAGATTCATTTTGATACCAAACACATATAAGAAAATACTGAAAATCAGGAATACAATTCTATTTTTGATTGAATCTTTTGTTTTCGGATCATTCATTAAATGTAAGTCTAAGTCCCATTAGATAGTGATTTTTACTCGGGATTTATGCCCTAAATTTTCCTAATTAGTAAATATTTTATTATTAGAAAAAGATAGTTAGTTGACTATTGTGATTGTATGCAACCTTTATTATCAATTTTATGAAAATTTAAGGTTGTAAATGTAATATTGAACGATATATATACAAGATGATTATATTCAGTTATAATCTAAGGAGTCTATAGTATATAGATAATGTTGGGTGTCTATACCTTGATAACACTATTGATACAGTCCACTTTGTGAATGTAACAAATTATTTGATAGTGGAGATATGTGAGTGGCATATCATATACAATAAGTTTGTATAAGACTAGGTCCCAAAATATTTAATCTTTTTGTAAGTTTGCTAAAAGAAAGATAAATTTGTTACATAGGATGATCATATATGTATGACTCGATTTTAATCTTAAGTGAGTTATGAATAGGCACCACAATAAATAAGGTTTTTGAAAACGTCGTGAAAAACCTTACAAACGTTGAGGGTAACTTTTTCCAACGAAAAAAATGCGTCGGGAAAGGTCACTCCTGATGTTTTTTTTCCTAAAAGGTTGGGAAAAGTTCCGTTTTCCCGACTTCTTGAACAAGGTCGGTAAGAGTCACTTTTCCTTATGAACTCCTGCCTTTGGAGACATATCATTTAATTTATGTGAGGGGAAATATTTTTTGTGTCAGATTCAGTAGGCTTATTACTTTAGAAAATGACAAATTAAAATAGGGAGTTAGTAACATAATCTCACACGATTGTAATTCACTCCTTCTCATATATATATAGAGTAAGTATACGAGCTGTTTAAGTGCTAATTTTGGAACATGAACAATAAGTCCCTCCCTCTTGTTACCTGATGGAGATTTAGTTTATGATTGGTT